CAATGGCGTGTGTAAATCTGGTCTTTCCTCCACAAAAACTAAATTCGAATGGCACACTCCAACGAAACACACGGGGATTCAATGCGGCCTTTTCTCATTAAATTCCTTCAGTTTCTGTTGTGCAATTTACAGTACAAATGTCCAGATTGAACGGACTTGGAAAGACTCACCGAGAGCGTATATTTGTTGTAGAACTTAAATTAAAACTTCGCTCGCTCTTTCACTACGAACAAATTGTTTGAGAAAATTCAGATATCAAATGAATGAAAGTTCCATCGTTCAGTTTAACTGTAACCAAATACTTCACGTTTTAACTTTCTATGTACCTTTTGTGTACGATTAAATTTAATTGCAGACGGTTTTAAGGCCGCTTGTCAACCAACGTTATGACACTATTGCTTATACAAATTCATTCTGAAACCAATATTTTTCTGTCAACCAAAGTGATTTGAGAGAGAGGAAAGAGAGGATTCATAAGTTATTTATCGGCCTGAGGTAGTGACCGACGTGTTTGCTCGAAAATACTGCCCAACCGGAAAAACGAGATATATTTATGAAAAATGGCAACAAAATTTAAGATTTACTCAGGAAAATACTGACCGGGTAAAGAACCAATCAGATTGCAGGATTTTTACCGTGCCCTCTAAAAAAAAAAAAAAAAAATGAACATATTTCATGCAGACCCATCCAAATCTGGCAAGGGAAGACAGTGCAAAAAATTCACTTCCGAGTTCGGAATTTGTCTTACGTATGGGTCAATGGACTTCCTTTTCCTTGTAATTTGGTTCATAAAGTGTTAACTTCAGCACTGATCACACAAATTTATCGTCAAAATCTGTTGCACTAAAGAGTCTGAGCCAATAATATAAAGAGAGGTATTGGTCAGCGTTCTTATTGTTTTCACGTCTGTCAATTTGATGCCAAAAGCACATCAGTATAGGGGTTTGTGGCCAATACTTCTCGACTTACATCTCTAGCAAATAAAAAGACGCTGATTAATATCAACGAGCCTGCAATATACCAAATATTGGTCAGAGGATTCCTTGGTGCAACAGCTGTCACTTAAACATCTCACTGTGAATGTCCGCTACAACAACAATGCACTGACGGAGTTAAACGATTGCATTGAAGGCTTATTACATTTAGGACCAAATGTTATTACATTTAGGACCAAATGTTATTACATTTAGGTCTTTATTACATTTAGGACCAAATGTTATTACATTTAGGACTTTATTACATTTAGGAAAGTTATTACATTTAGGCCTTCAACAGCCCATGCCATCCTGGATTGCATAAATTCCACGGTGTCCGCTAACATAGCAGGCTACAAGAGACCCTTGCATAAGTTTTATTTCCATTAAAGAAATAGAGCTGAATTTAAAATTTTGAATTGAAAAATCGAAGTATGGGTGACGGATAAACTGCTTTCAGCAATCAAACTTTCCAGAAAGAATGATATGCCTTTAGGCGGAGCTAGGCTACAGTCATGAGTTGGAGAGGTTTTGCCACCGTGAAGTAATAGTAGCCGTCTATGGTCTATGAGGGAGTTGAGACAAGAATAAACCATAATAAATCATAAGATCAGAGATGGTTTAAGAATGAAAGCACTGAAAAAAATCGGATAGAACAAATCTAAAAATATCATTAAGTGGCAAGTTTGACTATATAGTAGGTTATGCTGATAACCGTCTGGAAAATGACTCACGTCATCGGTTTGTGGATCGAGTTCCTCTCCTTCTTCAGCAAGCTCCTGTCCTATCAGCGCATTTGTCAAGTGAGATTTTCCAACTCCTGTCTTGCCACTCAATAGGAAGGTTATCTCACGGCCGCCAGACAAAATGAATTCACGAAGGTAATGCTCGAGGTCAGCCGAGCAGCAGAGTAAATCACTCAGCTGGGCTGCGCTGGTGTCCATAGATTTATTGCTTGCTCCTTTCCTTGCCATTCATGGGGCGTCTGTTCCAGAGATTGTAGAAAAAGTAGAAACGACAATTATTCAATTTTATACTTCTGTTTAGTTAATTTTTAAACCTGAAACTTGACTGAGAATATTTGTCACACAAACATGAACCATGGCCGTTGTTTGTTTTGTAGGCTAGACTTAATATCTAACAACTTACAAATCGCACCTCCTAATAAAATATACCTTTAGACTTTCTAGACTAAGAAAATGCGTCTTCATTTAGAATTTGTTGGGTCTATTTGCACTGACGAAGAACTGACGCTCACGTAAAAACGGCAGCTTTAGAAACTCTTTTTGGTGGCCAATTACATTATTAACTCAGTTGATAAACCGAATTAAATCGTCTTGTGCCGTACCCTTGTGCTACTCTACACCGAAACAGCGCCACAGTTTTTTAAGAATCTTGGCCCTTTTACCCATTAACAAGTGATCTGGAAAAACGAAAAATTGACCATGGAAACCATCTTTTTGAAAACGTACACATGTTACGGAAATCAAAAATGTTAAAACATTAACCAGAAGCCGATATGCCTCCGCTGCCACTAAAAGACATGATATATTTATATGGAATTCTTACCGGTAGCAACAACCGTTTTATTTCCAAAAACTGATATAATTCAAACATCTTTTCAATCTATTTCATTTGATCTTTAATGATTCAAAATACGGACTAAAGTAATAATTGGACCGAACTGCAGTTTACATAAATGGTGACATTTTTCTAACTTCCATGTTCTCGGAAAGAGTAGTCATTCAAGCGATTCTTAGAAAGATTTAAATTAGTAACTTCTAAACGTTTGTATTTCGGCAGATATTTGGTTTACTTCCTTCGTATAATTAAATTGTACGAGCCCTTAATGCAATTTTAAAGGGAAATTCAAATGGTTCTTGTCTGAAACAGGCTCTCGAGTTCGCATTCATTTTTGACGGCTCCAACCGGTTTCTGGAGCGTCACATACACATGAAGCAAATAATAACATTACCCAGAAATTTCTTTCAACATCCCTGGATTACTAGCTAAGTTCAGTTGAATTTTGGCCAACAGAAAACATTTAAAATGTGTGCTCAAAAAAGGAATCATGTTTGTCAGAGTAATGTCTATAGAAGAACATGGATCTTGTGAAAAAGGATTTTCATACCACAATCGTCAAGAATCTTGTAACAGTATTTGTCGCGTACTCTTCCGTGTAGAGAAGTACATGAAGATGTCCTTACGAGGAAAGCCTCACCCACTGACTATCCTTCAACAGTCTTATATTTACAGCAGTGACTCGGTGTATCACAGGTTAATTCTTTCAGTCAAAGAGTCTCCAAACAAAGAGTGTAAATTCTAGGCACAAATTTTCGCTCTTGAAAACTTATGACACGACTGACTCCACAAACGACTGCAGTTCGGCGCGTCAGCGGTTACGATGATGGTGAAGGCGGGAAGAGTTAGCTGCAAATAAAAGAAATCCTTTCTATTTGCCTGATGCCCGAAGGGCAAAAGCAGAAAGTACGAGAGGACCTCGGAAATGAGGAGAAGTCGCGGTGGTTTTAAATTTTTCATTTTTCTTCGGCAAGGAGATGACCCATGTCAGATTTTTCAACGTTGACAGGGGAAATTACTTTCGGTAGAATAATTCTTGAGAAAGAGTGGACTTCTGGCTTAAAAGAAAGCTCGGACTTGAATTTCTAAACGTGTTCACGTAGACACGAGTGCTAGAGGAAATAATAATTAGCGAAAAGAAACTCGAAAGGTAACCAAGTTGAATTTATTTATGAAGCATATATAGTTTGACAAATGATTTGATAATGAGTTTCTAACTTTAATTTAAGTTGATAGGAATCAGAAGTGGTCGTATAATTAACATGGTTGCATCTGTAGCTATCAAAGACGAAGAATCCTCACAGTTAATTAAAGAAGCTTTCAAAAGTTAAACGATTCAAAATCTTTTGCTACGTTCTAATCTTTCCTATCGGCTTACTAATGTATACACTGTAGTTCATTCGCCTCATAAAACGAACTCCCATGCAAGCGCATAGTAGTCTACTGGCAAACGTAAGTATTTATGATAATGATCGTCACCTTACTTAAAGCAGGTGGGGCGTGGCCAGCTTTGCGACTTGTTGCAGGCCTGTACCTTAAGAAAGTTCAATTTTAGTTTTAAATTTGTGATATTCATATCATGTAAGTCAAGCGAGTGGAAAGAAATTGTAGGCCCCGGCCTACAGGACTATAAGAGGCTCTCTATGGGGTCAGCCGTTAGCCTTAAAACTTCCAAAAAAAATTAGCTGTTAGGCGCAAAAACTGTCAAATGTTAACCGTTAGTCGCAAAAAAAAATTAAGCATAAATGTTTTTTCTTTAAATAACAACGGAAGGAAGTTAGCCGTAAATGGCCAAAATTTAAACCGTTAACCGTAAAAAAGCTTGCACCACACCATTGAGACCATCCTATAGGCTGGCTACGCCCCCAAATAAAAGTGATGCTAATATTGAAGTTGCCTTCGAAATCGTTCTACTTTAAATTTAATAGACATGTACCCTCCCTACAGTACACCAAAGGATATTTATCACTGCTGTATACCGATCGCTTTAAGAATTGCTGTTTTCTGATAGTTATGCTTGTTCTTGTTGACAAATCATCTTAATGAAATATTAAAACGTCTATTTAATTTGTCGTTACTACAGAAATTAACGCAGGAATGATCGTGGGCCGTGCTTGCTTGTAATCTTCATTCAAAACAATGTAATGTAACACAACCTTATGTCCGTCCAGCCTCGATTTGGTGCGACACGCAATCCAAGATGGCGCTGCGTGATAAAGGTGTATGGCACACTTCCTATCACTCCCTTTAAATTAAGCTTTAATGTCCTTAAAAAATGAAAAAAACTCGCCAATGTTCTAGTCTCGTAACCTTAAACTCGAGATAATTCACTAGATGAATAATCACTCTTAACTTTTATTTTTTATATGAAAAGCGCAAGGTATCGAATAATTAAAATCTAAAGCTTGAAACAATAATGATATGACTATTTTTTAGTTTGAGACGTCTAGCGAATTCTACTCAAAAAGTCATGCAAAGCAGTTTACATGAAGGTAATCATCTCTTCAGCGATTAAAAATCCAGCCGAGGGCAGCGGCAACAAGGGAGCCACTTCCAGAAAGGATCCTTTGGAATATCACCCTGACGGCCCCTCTAGCAAACCACATCATGGCATCTCTCAGGTTTTCCCTTACCGGGGGAGGGACGAGGTTGATGCTGGGGAAACTCTCCGCAAGGCCTCTCTCCTCATGATCAGTACCTGACGTAGCTGAGCGTAGACGCAGATGTGATTCCGAGTTTGTTGATATCTCCTCCATAGAAACAGTTGTGCTACTTGGACGGTGATCAGAAGCGGTGTCACCATTTTGATCGCAACTGAAAAGATCAGCCATGACTTGATCGTGTTCTTCGAGGTAGATAGGAGGAACAAACCCAGTTGAACTTCCTCCTCCGCAGTTCATACCCTCTCTGTCTACAGGTGAATGCTTCCTGTCTTTCTTGAAGGGACCAGGCCTGAAACGATCCATATTTGCCAGAAAGAATGCTGGTTTTGCGCTGTTGTTTAAACGTTTAAAGGTTTTAACCCATAAAGCTGTTATCCAGTGAGAAATACCTGGTAATTCTGGTTCCTGCGAGTCTCCAGTTGGGGCAAATTCTACATAATTGACAAAAATGTTTATGTCTAGATCTTTCCATTTTCCTAGTTCTTCAAAGATTATTCCCTTAAATTCTCGCGTGCGATGATCAAAGAACTCTTCTGTATTCTTTCCTACTCCGCGTGGTGGATCAACTTTGTTGGCAAATGTTAAGCCAACAACAGCGTGCTCCCACAGCTGCGGACCGAAGGCTTCTGTTAACTTTTGGATTGTTTTGACGTCGTCGTCCCGAAACCGTGTAGTGTTCATCTCGGTACAGAAAACGAACACGTCGAATTTGGTAACCTTTTCCCTGATTTTTTTCACATAATCCTCTTCTTTATTGTCTCTATCTGCGAAACCCGGCGTATCAAAAACTGTAATCTTCACGCCGTTTTTGAGGAAGTTGTAACCATTCACCTGTACGAAAAAGGACATTCTGATAATTTGATTTTTTTTCTCGGTTATACACTCTCAGGGTCTGTGTCATTTATCATTTCTCTATTTAGATGACAATATTCCTGTAAGAGCATTTCCAGAAAGGGATAGTGAAACCAGAAGATGATAAATAAAAATTTGAGTTGAGGTTTTAACAATACACTAGTCTCTGTGAAAAGTGCCAATGAATTTGGAATCTTCTTTCTGCAGACAAACTCGATCTCTAATCCATTCTCTTGTTCAGATCTTTTTTGCATTACGTCTGATAATTACTTTATGAGCTTAGCTTTCACAAGCTCCAAGTTAAGTTGATATCAACAGTTGGCAAGAAAACGTTTTTCATTTTGCGTAGAAAAGCATGAAGATGATAAACTGACGAAATTTTGACAGCGCGCGCGCGTCCTGTAATTTGCACTCATGTAACAACTTTGCGTTACGTAAAAAAATGCACTCGTTTCTAGCCAATCAGAAGCGCGTAATTTTTTCATATATATTATTACAAAATAAATTGGACAACACAAATTCCTGTTATAAATTATTCGTAACCATTGCAATTTCCGAAAAAAAAATTAAATGATGATGTTTATTTGAGAAAAAATCTCTAGTACAGACATTGTCTAATTACAACTGTAAAGAATAATTGGTGAAAATAAAGCAGCTTATGCGCGAATCACATTTGAGGAAATTGTAATGGTTATGATTATGAGCAGAAATTTTGAGTTAGATAGTCGTGAATCCACTTACCTCGGCTGTCCTTGAAGACAGAGTATGACCCTCTTCCGCGAGATTTTCACCAATAAGTGCATTGGTCAAATGTGACTTTCCTACACCTGTCTTGCCACATAGTAGGATGGTCATTTCATTTCGACCTGATTTCCTAAACTCTTCTAGCTGATACTTGAAATTTTCATCACCAAGTATCAACTCCTTAGCCTCTTGATAGCTATTTAAGCTGACTCCAGGAGGGGATCTGTCTTCCATCTCAAAACCTAACATTCCAAAAAGAAAATAAAGCAAAGTGTACCGCGTTATTTTAATAATAAAAGAGCCTGCATTTCAATTTTTTACTATTTTGCCCTTGGACCTCCCAGAGCGCCTTAGCAAAGTAAAATATTGACCTGGTAAAAATTATACTTCGTATGTCTGATATATCTTTTGATTAAAAGATGTCCCAACGGACCCAGCAGCCCCAGTAGCCCCTGCCCTTAGGGATGGAATTCCACCCATCATTTCCGCTAGTCACGGAAGAGTATTGCGTTACTCCTGATTCTTTCCAAATTTGGTCTGTATGACGTTGGAATGTGAAACGAATCCTTCAAATCATGCAGCGAGTTTGGTGAGCGACATTTGAAAATATATTAATACTACACAACACTCATTTGAAATTTCAAGTTTCACCGCTGAATATGGCTTCATAGTCCAAGCGTGCACGTGTGAGCGTTGCCTCCGCTGAATGTGGACAAAAACTGAATGTTGCGTTTTTTTAGCTGCTGAAGATGAGAAGATTTACTTGTTTTATGTTTGTTTGTTGATCAGTTTGTTTTGTTTTGTTTCATGTTGCTTTATCTGCCAGCTCAGCGCGTAAAGGGTAGAATCACTTTTAAATCAAGAAATTTGAGTCTTATATGGCTAAAATTATTGGCTGTGTAACTTTCTAATTGCTGTAATGGCCATGGAATTTAAGTTACAGATCCTTCATCCCGAGCTTTTACGGTGCCAAGTTAACCATGAAAGACACTTGGCGCAAATTCAATCCGTCAGGAGAAAATTTTCTGACCAAAGGCACTACCTATGAGAGTGACTAAGTCACGATTTCATGAGAATTAGTATGGAGAATTTGGTATTGGATCAGCTAACAGTCCCTCGATTGATATTTTTCTTCATTCTCATCACTTGTCTCCTTGATATTTCATTGATATTGTAAGGAAAAATTCTGTCTTGGAGACTCATGGGAGTCAAAGAGGTAATGCACTAGTCAGTGGAAAGCCCCGCACCCCCATACCCGAGGAATAGCGGGGCATTAGACCAGGCGTCCCAACTAAATGAAGCAAATTCCCCGCTATGCGGGGCAATTTCTTATGTCAAAACCTCATTTTTGTACTCCGCCCCTGGGGCAATACTTGAAAAATCCCAAATACACAACGTTGACCAAAATTAATTTATTTCAAGAATTGTGCCTCAAATTTAACTCTTACAAAAACTTTTTCAATGTCTTCATAAAATAGATGAAACAATCATGGCTTCCTCTACTCCTCTTGGTAAGACATAGTTCTGTAAACTTTTCTCTGGACGTGTAAATGACTAAACTGGAACATGGTAATTCAAGCAACGCATCAACACAAAACAAGTTAAAGATACACCCGAAATTGTAAATTTGGCAATAACTTCCTTTAAAATTGGCAAAAACCACTCCTAAAACAGTAATATCAATTAAAGGGCTTAGCTATACCCAAACACGAACTAAATTAAATACTAGATTCTTTGACATAACAAGTCCCAACATGCATTTGACATACAACTACATCTAGAGTAAGCCAGATGGTGTTCTTTGCAGGCCTATTCAAAAGCGAAATCCCCGCCAAAGCCCCGCTAGCCCCGCTAACGGTCCCCGGTCGCTGTTATTTGTGTCTAATGTTGTCGAACACCCCGCACACTGGGGCAAAGATGACCACTAAAAACCGCTAAAATCCCCCGCTAATGACCCGCATTCCCCGGGTATGGGGGTGCGGGGCTTTCCACTGACTAGTGCATAATAGTCACATCTTTTCACCAATCTTCGACAGGTCCTAATTACTTGGGCTTCATGTGTGTACATGTGGATAGGTCCAAGTTTTAAATTTGGTCACGGTCGTCGAGGCACTTCCAGCGTTTCTGTATAGGCGCTGGTTATCTAATTGAATCGATCAGTCAGTGATCTTTAACTGCTCTCACGGCTCGTTTTCACATCAGATCGTAAACCATCGAAACGATTCATATTAGTGTTCGGTTTGCGCCTAAACTTGAGTTTGTTTTGGTTCAACGATACTGAAATTTCTAAAATAATTTCATGACCAAAACTCGCAAGTTTTTTACTCGGGATTGTAAATCCCGAGTAAAGGGCAGGGAGCGATAGTGTGATTTCTCCGAAAGCTTCCAAATAGTCACGGAATCACTCACAAATTAATTGTTACTGCGTTACTCTATTTAGTAACACCCCTAGAAGAGAGCGAAGCCGAGTGAAGGCCACAGTGACCTCCTGTTACCAGCTTAAACTCAGTTGACTTCCAAAGCTTTATGGAAAAAAGGAGATTACGGATTTCTGGAGCAGGAACATGTAAACATCGAAAACTGTGATAACTACATCATATAATCTTGTAAATCTCCGTAGATCACTCTACAGATAAGAAAGGGTTTAATAAACTAAGAAAAGGTTTTACTTTGCGAAGCATGCAGTCAGATAAAATATCAGCCTAGGTGATAGGTTTTGGTACGTGTATTTTTTGTGTCTATCCTAGAATATTTAAGACTCAAAATTCCCAAATTGCTTTTGCTTGCAGTTGTAACTTTCACTCATTTCACTTAACATTCACTCAATGTATCATCTTGAGGCCAAGTTTAGTCAAAAGGACAGAATGCAGGCGTTTTGTACTTGCTTTTGTTGACGCCGCTCAGATTCAAACAACATGAATTCGTTCAATCAGGAATATTCGCAAAACACACTCTAAATTCGCATCTACTTTACTGATGACCGACGAGGGTTATACCATTTAATTTATTAAATGGAACTTGCCCTTTAACGCGAATTTGGATATTGCATGACAAGCAAAGGTTTTCTGGCCTTTTTGGATCATAACGTTATTTACCAATAAAATGAAAGCACGAAACTATTAGTAAAATTATGAAAAATCGCAACAGCTGACCTTGTATCGTTTCTTCGAGGTGCCCTTCTCCTCTTGGACGATAACAAGTAATCTGCTTCCAGCAATTGTTTATAAGCCGTATTATTCTAAAAATATAAGTTGGGAAAGTCCCTTTCTTATGACATTTCTTTACCTTTCCGACAACCCTATTATTTTTGCCTCCTCTGAGTTTACACTTCGGATGATGCCTCTATTCCTTTAACAAAGGAATTTAATTATTTTCTCCACCAAGGCTATTTTTGTGGGGTCTTGGAATCTATCTACATGTTTTTTACTGCATTGTTTTGTTCAAAACACTTTAGACATATTTCTGCACCGTAAGCACAATCCACGTTAACTTGATAAATAGCTCTGAACACTTTAGAAATATTTCTGCACTGTGAGCACAATCCACGTTAACTTGATAAACAGCTCTAAACGCTTTAGACATATTTCTGCACCGTAAGCACAATCCACATTAACTTGATAAACAGCTCTAAACACTTTAGATATATTTCTGCACCGTTAGCATAATCCACGTTAACTTGATAAACAGCTCTACCTCTGGGTCTCGTTCAGAAAGTTTTCTTAGGCGATAAACAAGTAGGAGGCCCGTTAGCCGCATTCAAAGTTTTCCTTACTTCCCTTGCCCTAGGAGGAAAAGCAACCGCCTAGTCTCTACATGTCCGCTCCTGTCTATTTGAATAAAGGCTACTGTAAAGGGCATTCAGATTGGGAGAGTCCCTTTCCCCATTTAGCTGCGATTAATGTTTCCATTGCTTCGGTCAATTTTATTTGTCGCGCTAAGAAGCCTTTTTTTTCGCTGTGTCACATGGAAAGGACAATAGCGTAGTTTCTGCGTGTCCGATCCTGTCTCATTAAATGAAAGCTATTGTAAACATTCCCTTTCTTAAGACTTTCATTTAGTCACCTTTTCAGTGCTCCTGTTGTTTTTGCCTCTTGTGACTGACAGTTCAATTTGGTCATGGTTTTGGAATAATTTATCTACACTTTTCTTTACGTTATTGTTTGAACCCTGAAAAATAGTTTCAAACAAGTCTTGGCATATTTCTGCAAAGTAAGCATAGTCGGCGACGATGCCGGCAAAAAGATCGACTTTTGATTCTCTTTCGAAAAATTTCCTAAGGCAATAAATAAGGAAAAGACTGGTAATTCGTGCCCAGGGTCACCTTATTTCCCTCAGAAGGAGACGACACAACCCAGTCTTTGCGTGCCCACTTCTGTCTCTTTATCCTCTCAAAAGTGGTTCTAGTAGGGTCCAAGCGAGACTTTACCATTGTTGGAACTGTAAGACTAAGATAGGACGACGATTCATTAATGTAGACAACTAATACCACGGCACGCAGAAAAAAGTAGCCTGGCCGCGAGGACATTTTGGTGTTACATCGTTTTCAATTTGAAGCAGTGAACGTGGACATAAATACGAAATGCAGGCGATGACCTTTTTAAACAATTGATTTCCTCATGCAATAGGCGTTTGCGAAAGAAATCCACCTATTTAACAGTTCAATTTCAAATAAGGTTGTTTGTAAAAGGAACAATCGTGCCATGGCTATAAAAAATATATTTTGCCATCATTTGGCGTCGGAGAAAAATAAGATCTTGTATACCATAAAACAACAGATTTTATTATAGGAGTATATATTACCTACCAAATCAACAGCAAGCAGATTTATATTTGATTTAATAGTTATAACATAAATCAGCCGATCAGAAGTTAATGACAATTTTCTGCTATGACGTTTGGTCGCAATTAGTCTTAAAATGCCTTCTTTGCTTTAAATTTGTTAAGGTGTAAATAATTTCAGAGTAAGCAGTCGAAACGTTTCGAGTGCCACTGTCATTACAAAAACAGGAACACAATCACCTAGCTAATTCTAGCCTGCGTTGCTGGCGGTCTGCGGTTTTCTCTCCGCCCTCAAAACCGCAGACCGCCAGCAACGCAGGCTAACCCTATCCTCAGTAACCCTTTTGTAATGTTTCTATGTTAACCTCTAAGGTTGTTACGCGCTCGTCCTTCTACATTTGAGTTTATCGGTTTTCTTTTCCACGGAGAAGATTCTTTATAAACTCGATTGTCTTCCTAAACAATTTCGCATACATGTTTATAAAACTGGATCGGCTACCTCTCACTCCAGCGTTCACGCCAGGTTCACAGTTGTGTAACGCCTCTTGTATCATTTCTTTAAACAGTTCTTGTGAAGAGGACTCATCCATTGGGAGAGGCACTGGATTACCCATGCGCACAGCCTCATCATAAGAAGGAGGAAGAGAATACACCGTCTCGCAATGGTAAGCTCTTTTTTCATCTCCAGGGCCCTGGACGTTCATTTTTCGCATCTGGGCCCGAAATTGTTCTCCAACTTCAGCCGAAACTAACGCCGATCCTCTTCGAAGAATCGACGTGCTTTCATATTTGTCGTCCACCAAAGTATCACTGTTGCTTATGGTCGTAGATTTCATTTGTTTTGTTTTTATTCTTTCAAGTATTTTTCGATAATATTTTCCTTCGGACGTTGATATCACTGGCGAGCTCTTTTCCAAGCTCCCTAGAACGACAAACGTTTCCTCATCAGAGCATTCATCGTATCGTTCACCTTCACCACGGGGTTCATCCGATAAATGTCCACCAAAAGAGATAATAAAGCGATCGATGTTTGCAAGAAGGAAAGCAGCTTTTGCATTTCTGTTGATACGTTTGAATGCCTCAATCCAAAACACTGTCAGCCAGTTATCTCTGTCTGGGAGTGCTGGCTTCATCCATTCTCCAGCTGGTACGAACGGTAAATCATTTAGGGCTTTCTCGTCAACTCCTTCTTTGTCAAGCACTTTGCAAATCTTGTTGCGAAAAAGAAGCATTCGTTGTTGAAAGAAATCTTTCTCGGTGACTTTGTCCTTTGAAGGTTGAACTCTGTTCGCAAAGGTCAATACCACCAGAGCATGATCCCACAAACTTCTACCAAACGTCGTTGTGACCTTTTTAATTGTCCTAGCGTCGTCGTCACGAAATCTGATGGAGGTCATATCGAAGCAGAACAGGAAAAGATCGACAGCTGTAATTTTTTTCTTGATTTGCTCAAGGTACTTTTCGTCGTTACCGGTGTCATCCGCCAATCCGGGAGTATCGAAGACAGTTATCTTCACATTGTTTTTAAAAAAAACGTACGGTGTCACCTGGAAATAAAAATCAAAATTATCTTACAACAAAACACACGTTTAATTCAGAAAGTATTGCTAAGTTCAATTTAGCACCGACCAACACCTCTGTTTCATTGCATGCTGCAGTGTTGGTTTTTTTTTATTTAAGGGAAGAAAATGCATCGACAATACGCAAAGACGAAAAGGCCACATTGGTGAGAGGAAACTGATGCTATTATAAAGGTCCCCCCCTCCTCCCTTCCCTCCCCCCACCCTCCCCCCCTCCTCCCTTCCCTCCCCCCATCCTCCCTTCCTTTCCACCCCCCATCCCTGTTATCCAACTTGACACATCAATAATCAATATGCGCCCCATGCTTTGCATTCTACAATCGTTCGTTTCTCGTCACTTGATTTACGTCGTGTGCTATTCATCTTATCCTGAATTTAGTGCAGCCCATGCCATCCTGGATTGCATAAATTCCACGGTGTCCGCTAACATAGCAGGCTACAAGAGACCCTTGCATAAGTTTTATTTCCATTAAAGAAATAGAGCTGGATTTAAAATTTTGAATTGTTTCATTCAAGAAAAATCGAAGTATGGGTGACGGATAAACTGCTTTCAGCAATCAAACTTTCCAGAAAGAATGATATGCCTTTAGGCGGAGCTAGACTACAGTCATGAGTTGGAGAGGTTTTGCCACCGTGAAGTAATAGTAGCCGCACAATGATAGTCTATGAGGGAGTTGAGACAAGAATAAACCATAATAAACCATAAGATCAGAGATGGTTTAAGAATGAAAGCACTGAAAAAAAATTTGATAGAACAAATCTAAAAATATCATTAAGTGGCAAGTTTGACTATATAGTAGGTTATGCTGATAACCGTCTGGAAAATGACTCACGTCATCGGTTTGTGGATCGAGTTCCTCTCCTTCTTCAGCAAGTTCCTGTCCTATCAGCGCATTTGTCAAGTGAGATTTTCCAACTCCTGTCTTGCCACTCAAAAGGAAGGTTATCTCACGGCCGCCAGACAAAATGAATTCACGAAGGTAATGCTCGAGGTCAGCCGAGCAGCAGAGTAAATCACTCAGCTGGGCTGCGCTGGTGTCCATAGATTTATTGCTTGCTCCTTTCCTTGCCATTCATGGGGCGTCTGTTCCAGAGTTTGTAGAAAAAGTAGAAACGACAATTATTCAATTTCATACTTCTGTTTTAGTTAATTTTTAAACCTGAAATTTGACTGAGAATATTTGTCACACAAACATGAACCATGGCCGTTGTTTGTTTTGTAGGCTAGACTTAATATCTAACAACTTACAAATTGCACCTCCTAATAAAATATACCTTTAGACTTTCTAGACTAAGAAAATGCGTCTTCATTTAGAATTTGTTGGGTCTATTTGCACTGACGCTCACGTAGTGGTGGCCAATTACATTATTAACTCAGTTGATAAACCGAATTAAATCGTCTTGTGCCGTACCCTTGTGCTACTCTACACCGAAACAGCGCCACAGTTTTTTAAGAATCTTGGCCCTTTTACCCATTAACAAGTGATCTGGAAAAACAAAAAAATTGACCATGGAAACCATCTTTTTGAAAACGTACACATGTTACGGAAATCAAAAATGTTAAAACATTAACCCGAAGCCGATATGCCTCCGCTGCCACTAAAAGACATGAGGTCAACTAATTTATACAGAATTCATACCGGTAGCAACAACCGTTTTATTTCCATAAAACTGATATAAATCAAACATCTTTTCAATCTATTTCATTTGATCTTTAATGCTTCAAAATACGCACCAAAGTAATAATTGGACCACACTGCAGTTTACATAAATGGTGACATTTTTCCAACTTCCATTTTCTCAGTAGTCATTCAAGCAATTCTTAGAAAGATTTAAATTAGTAACTTCTAAAACGTTTGTATTTCGGCAGTTGTTTGGTTTACTTCCTTGGTATCATTAAATTGTGCGAGCCCTTAATGTAATTTTAAAGGGAAATTTAAATTGGTCTTGTCTGAAACAGGCTCTCGAGTTCGCATTCATTTTAGACGGCTCCAACCGGTTTCTGGAGCGTCACATACACATGAAGTAAACAATAACATTACCCGGAAATTTCTTTCAACATCCCTGGATTACTAGCCAAGTTCAGTTGAATTTTGGCCAACAGAAAACATTTAAAATGTGTGCTCAAAAAAGGAATCATGTTTGTCAAAGTAATGTCTATTGAAGAACATGGATCTTGTAAAAAAAGATCTTCATACCACAATCGTCAAGTATCTTATTGCAGTATTTGTCGCGCACTCTTCCGTGAAGAGCAGTACACGAGGCTGTTCTTGCGAAGAAAAGCCTCACTCACTATCTATCCTTCAACAGTCTTATACTTACAGCAGTGACTCAGTGTATGACAGGTTAATTCTTTCAGTGAAAGAGTTTCCAAACAAAGAGAGTAAATTCTAGGCACAGGTGGCGGCTCTTGAAAACATATGAAACGACCGACTCCACAAAACGGCTGCAGTTCGGTGTGTCAGCGGTTACGATGATAGTAAAGCAGGTAGAGTTGGCGGAAAATAAAAGAAATCCTTGCCCGAATGGCGGAAGCAGAAAGTAAGAGAGGACCTGGAAATGAGGATGTTAAATTTTTCATTTTTCGTTTTCGTTTTTTCAAAGAGATGTCCTCGGTCAGATTTTTCAACGTTGACAGGGGAAACTATTTTCGGTCGAATAATTGTTAAGAAAGAGTGGACTTCTGGCCTAAAAAGAGACTTAGCCTAGGATTTCTAAACGTGATCACGTAAACTCGAAAGGTAACCAAGTTGAATTTACTTTTGAGGCATATTTTGACAAATGATTTGACAATTAGCTTCGAACTTTAAGTTAAGTTGATAGGAATCAGAAGTGGTTGTATAATTAGCAGACAGGGAAACTAATTTACATTGTGGGAAGGGGGAATGGGTCGAAATATTGTCGGAGAGCCAGTTCTTTTTTTTCTGTTAGGTTGGTAGGGTGGGGAAAATTGAGGATGGCAGGGCTTGGGAAGGCCTTGTTCTCTATTGCGCAAGTGAAACATTAATAATCACTTTATTATCTTAAAAGAAATGTTAAAAATAACAATTTGGGGTAAGAATTTTTCTTGACACCTGTTTCATAGAAGGGTAGTTTTAGTGAACGCAGTTTCACAGAGAGAAGAAAAAAACTGTATCTGGTAATTTTTTGAGGGTGGCTTAGATGTTTTATGTCAGCCTTTTGAAAGCAACTTCCTAGGAGTGAAATAGCTTTGAATGGATTATTAGCCTTAGATGTTACTTCTCTTGCATTCTGATCTGGCTTCAGATTGTCAAGAACTGTCACGAACAGTCACGTGTATTTCGTAATCGAATTGTTATGTAACGATTAGTCACGCATTTATAGTTTTGTTTGTACAGATCGTATTTTATTCCAACTTGATTGACCAGTTTTAGACTATGATCAAATTAATTACTACACGTACAATTTTAGAACACAAATCATCTCGATAGGTTAATAAACGAATGCAAAGAGTACAAGTGTAGTTTTTACGAGTTTATAACACAGATCATTATCTGTTGGATATCACAAAACCAGAAGGACTGATGATACGTTCTCCAGTGTTGAACACGACAAGATTAATTGACGAGGAACGAAGTGATCATCTAGTAAAGTGATCACGACCACAGAAAAAACTGAAAAAAAAAATCAAATAAACTTATGTGATGTTAAAACAGTACAAAGGCAGGTCATTAAAAGCACAAATGCATGTTCATTTACTTGGTTACCTTTACAACACTGTTGTAAAGGAGAGAAAGAATTAATTAGGAGAGCTGTCCTTTTAATGGCAGTTGAGTTCATTATTTTGTTCAATCAAGCAGATGTGCAGGTTTTTTTCTGACATTTTCATGAATTGAGAAAGCATTCTTTAGTATTTTTAAGAGGAGCAGTCCTACTAAATTATGGAACCATCTGACCTTATAAAAGCAGAAAAATTTGATGACTAAGAATATGGATCAATCTAATATGGAAAAATATCATTATGGAATGAAATGACCAATGGTAGTGAAAAGATTTAAATTATCGGGAAGGCAGAACTTAGGAACACCATTGTTTGATGGATCAATCAGGGGGTTGGCTGATTTGCTCCTTCGTGCCCTCTTCTTTCGTTCATTTGCTTATAATTCATTTGGCTTTTCTTTTTTTACCTTTTGGTTCAATCAAAAGTTTTAAAATTTGGCTGACTGATGAACTCGGTGAATATAAGCACCATGCAGTTTCGCTTTTAAAAGGATAATCAATCGAGCAGCTTTGGACTAAATTGTCTCTGAAACCTCTTGTCAGTGAAAAATTGTACTGGTTATGAAATTAATTGACTCCAGTTAGCAAGATTGTTTGAAATGCACTTTTGACCATCTGGGTAATTCTTTAAACAGTTTATTATTTGGTCTTGCACTGACTGATTTCCTTATCGTTCCGGCGACTGAGCTTCAACATGAAGGTTTCTCGTTTTTCCATTAATTTCCTTGTATAATAAGCTCACTTTTCTTACATATGAGGTTACCATAGCAACACAACAGCCCCTTAAAACACCCCTAATGTTACTTAAATGTGACTATTAGTGGAAATGAGATCAGTGACCCCAATTTGTTGTCTTTTTTTTGCAATCAGTAGATCAAGATTCACCTTTCTGCAAAATTTATGAAACAAAGTTATGTATGTAAAGCTCAGAGTGACCTTGATTGTAGACACAAACGTGTTATGAACGATCTGGAATCAATATGATCTTGCTGCTTGACTCTTGTGGCAAAAGCGAGCAAGTGAATGCGTTTAAGAACAATGAAACTTAATCATTAACTTTTGAAAATGATTGAAATTACTTTGTATTCAACATTACTGTCAACCGCTAGTCGTAAAAGCCATTATCTCATTGAGACGCCCATTGACAGGAACTAAGAAGCGAGTAAGACAATTTCTTCCTTTTGGGCGTGCCTTACTCTCCGAGTTCGCTTTGCGTTTGCCACTTCCTCCTCAAATATGCAGAACAGAAGACTAAAACTCGAGAGTCTGTTTAAACAACTTAAGAGGCCCGACGATTAATTATCATCAATATTATAACCCCGAAAGGCATTGTGGATAGTTTTCAGGTCGCGGTTCCTTGACCTCAGGATTTTAGGGAAATATGAGAAAATGTCACTGTGCGGACGAGGCATCGAGGGTTTGATAAATAACCACGTTTGACTTATTAAAATCATTGATTACCGAATACCCAGACTACCTTTTGAGACTGCCGTGTGCACTTTTTTTTCGACAACCTTTTTTAAAAACAGAGGTATAATTGCCTTTATACGGCTAGGAAGGGTGAAATGCTGCCATTCCTTTTTTTGCTACGTTACACGGGTACAGATTGACCTCCAGCAGAACGGAACTAGATCAAAGCGAAAAACAGTTCAAGGGCATTGAAAAGACAGTAATTTAAAAATGCTCTGACGCTCTGCAAGTATAACTGAAACTTCCATTTAACTGAACCAAGGCTGAAGTTAGCTTAGGGATAGCGCTATTATTTAATTTAACCTTTGAACAAAAGTGACCGAAGAGTTTTTCGTTCGATACTTTGTCGGTCTGCTTATCAAAGGCGGGAAATTCATTTGAATTTTAAATGATTTCTAAATTAATATTCATATTTTATATCAGTCTTGCACGTGGAAAGAGTTCACAAACGAGAAAGACCTTACGAACGACAAGAAGATTCATCGTCTTTTTGGTGCTACTCAGGGGCCAGGAAACAAAGCAGTTTTAAACTAGTGCTTCATCAGCTGTTCTGTTCTGTAAAGACCAGCGTATGGTTATTTGAGTTTGCTGAATTGAGTGGATCAAGTTGGCCGCCATGAGGATTTGATGAACGTCTTTCTCAAGGTAAATAACCTACGTTTAGATACATATTTGATGATAAAAGTACAGTCTTTGTGTTTCTTGGCGAAAGTATAAATCAAATTTCGGGGTTCTATTTGAAAAGGAAGAGCCAGTTACTCACATTACGATGTTGGACAAAACCTAAATGGCAACCGCCATGACAGTTCCACGTGACCTATAGGGCAACAACAAGAACGTCGTATTTTATTACAATTATTGATCAGTGTTTTAGTTAGGTTTTTTTTTAATTTTTTTTTTTTTAATTTAAATTTTTACTTGTTTCATACTTTACATAGTCAATTATGCTTCTTATGTTTTAAAATTAACTTTGCTTTAAACGCGTTTTCCCTTATGCTTAACCTCCGCCAAAGGAAAAAAGGGTCAAACATTTTGACGCGGAACTGTCTTTTTGGTAGCCAGAGTCTTTGTTCTCATTGTATCGTTTTCTGTCTTTCAGCGTCTGGCAAAGGATGAAGCAAAATGTGATTCTAAAGAAATCCTCTGGAGGAAAGAAAAAGGATTGCATTAAACAGGTTGGTAAATATTAGTGTTTCAACAAATTAGTTTACCTGAACTCGTAAGCCTGGTAGGAGTTTATCACTCATACCTGATTTGGCGAATGTTTACAAAATTACTTGAACAAAAGGTAAAATTTCCGTACAGCCCCATACTAAATTATGCATTTAGTTCTTGAATAGAGAAAACAATGACAAAAACAATACATTTCCATTGGGAAAACAGATTGTTTACAATAATTAAACAAAAAAAAGTGGAGCAAGTAGTGTTTCGTTCTCGGCAGTGTTCTTAATCAATAGCAATAAAAATTATTTTTCTGTAGATGGGTATGCACGTATTCACAGTTTTTTATTTCGCTTTAGTACAACGTCAAGCAGAGATTGATAACATTTCAAAATGGAAAGGAAATCAGGAAAACTTCCAACAAGGTCAGTTATTTATTGTTATTATCATTATTAGGTAGGATTTGGATTTGTAATGAAGCTATGAATATCAAATTTTATTAACTTCTGTGACGGGTTTGTTATCTGCGCTTTGATATAGATGTAGTCCGTTAGAAAGCTCAAACCTGGATTGAAAAATGGAGAAAAAAAAACACTCAAAAATAACAAAGTCAAAAATTGATTGCATAGCAATGATTTCAAAGAAATTTCTAGTCATCACCTAACATGCCATGACCATCTAGAATTCTTCCTTAGATCTCTAACAAATTTTAATACTCTGATAGTTTTGCACCTTTTTTTATTTCAAACTTGAACCTTTTCATTTCATGCTTCGAGCCTGATTTTCAGTTTCTTTCTTCTTTAGGTAAAAAAACAGCTCGCTCAGTAAACTGATATCACTCAGACTTTTTCTGAAAATTATTTAGATTTTGATAAGGCCAATGATTTTATAACTTTCTTAGGCTCAGACCTTTTCAACTCTATTGATGAAACTTTGAAGCTTAATTGTAAAATTTTTAAAATTCTTGAGGCCGGTCAAACCAAATTCAACGTGCTCCAAACATTGACATTTCCAGAAAGTTTATCCAGGTTTTTTTTTCCTTTTCAGTGTTCTGTGAAGGTTATTGC